ATGGTTTCAAAAAAATTCGTAACACATGTCCCAACCACCTCAACTAGCGAAGTTTCACCATTTCATCTATTGGTTTACCAACCTTATCTGGGAGCCGTTTCCTAACAACTGCATTGCTTACTCGATAGATCCAAGATAAACGTGCAATGCATCGAAGACACCTATGATCGAAAACCAGTAACCTACGAATATTTTCTGTAATTAATAATCATTGAATCTAATTGAACAAACAGAACTGTTCTAGCATTTTTACCAAATAAATCTCCCACATAAGATTTCTATTTTGACGTAGTAGTAGTAGTAGTAGTAGTAGTAGTAGTAGTAGTAGTAGTAGTAGTAGTAGTAGTAGTAGTAGTAGTAGTAGTAGTAGTAGTAGTAGTAGTAGTAGTAGTAGTAGTAGTAGTAGTAGTAGTAGTAGTAGTAGTAGTAGTAGTAGTAGTAGTAGTAGTAGTAGTAGTAGTAGTAGTAGTAGTAGTAGTAGTAGTAGTAGTAGTAGTAGTAGTAGTAGTAGTAGTAGTAGTAGTAGTAGTAGTAGTAGTAGTAGTAGTAGTAGTAGTAGTAGTAGTAGTAGTAGTAGTAGTAGTAGTAGTAGTAGTAGTAGTAGTAGTAGTAGTAGTAGTAGTAGTAGTAGTAGTAGTAGTAGTAGTAGTAGTAGTAGTAGTAGTAGTAGTAGTAGTAGTAGTAGTAGTAGTAGTAGTAGTAGTAGTAGTAGTAATATATCATATATCATATCATCGCAATGATAATAATAATAATAATAATGTCTGATTACATATATTTGAACTGTATGTTGAGATAATTTTGATTAGTAGTAGTTCCAATTGAATTCTCGTTCAAAAGTAACACTTCAAAATTTTTTTAAAAATAAAATTTTTACATTCATTTAGATTAGATTACTCTTGCGCGAAATTCGGTAATATTAGTAATAATAATATTAATTTTTTCTCGGAAAGAATCGAATTATGACACATAGGTCAACTGTCATTAGTTTTTCACAAAAGTTAATATACTTTTCATAAATTTGCTTTTTCTACATTTCAATTTCGATAGAAAAGTTATCAGCTAATCGAAAAAAACCAATTTGATTTTATTTTCAAATAAAACTTAAACGTGTCATTTATTGTTGATTGAAAAAAAGAATTATTAGTAATAATTTATTTCAACGCCTGCATTAGTTATATTACACCTTGAAAAAAAATTTCATTTTACTAAACTATAAATGTTATGAGAATAGGTTCAGTAATATTCAAATTTAAGAATATTAAAGGATCCGATTGTGAAAATTAGAACAACACATATAAGCGAATAATAGTGTTTTCGATTAGATCGTCATCAGGCTATACTCTAATACACATGACACAAGTAGAATATATTCGTAGGTTACTAGTATTTGATCATCGATGTCTTCGAAGCATTGCTCGTGGGTCAATCGAGTGAGTAATGTTGCCATTAGGAAACAAGTTCTAAGTAAGGATGGAATATCAATAGATGAAGTATTGAAACTTCATCAGTTGATGTAGTTGGGACATGTGTTACGAATGCCCCAACACCGACTGCCTCGACGAGCTATGTTTTGTGGTATAGGAGTAGGTTGGAAGAAAGCTAGGGGCGGCTAAATAATAATTTTTTGCATTGTTACTTTGTACAATTTAAACCTTAGTTAATTTAATAATTAATTAATTGGTTTTATAAAGAAATGGTTTACATAAAGTCATGAAACATCAAAAACACTTCTATTTTTTCTGATCATTGAGATATTTACAAATACATGAATTTGATTAATAACAATCTACTCAATGTTCAATACAGATGATATTATCAAGTTAAACATTGTTATTGATACCTACGATCTAATAAACAGTTAACGTTTGAATATTCAAAAAGTATATAAATATTTAGAAATTTTAACAACGACTTGTTGCCACTTGTATTCATTCATAAGCATTTTAGACTATTTCAATTTTTATAACAGATTTTTTTCACTGTGTATTATACTTGATGTGTGAATTGTATCTCCACTCCTTTTTCTTAAAAAGATGAACTAAGAATGAAATATATACCAACAGTTGAAATAGTTTAGTTTGACTTTCGTAGTAATTCACTTTGTGACAGATTGTAAGCCTCTTTACAAGTGGTCATGAGAAAAAATTCCCAACTAGTGAATCCTACTGTGAAATTCACACATCTGGAAAAGAAGTGGTTTATAAGTTTATAATAATCAAAATCGACATGAGCAGAAACATGTCTATTTTTCATTAAATTATAAGTTTGAAAAATCGATCTGGACATACAGATACATCATGATAATTCTTGCATTTTATGAGTTAGCGTGCTTGGGGTGAATGGGGTCACTAACCACATACCCAATCCTTCTTTACTTGCGCTTAGAACCGGCAGTAATCATAGATTGGTTTAATGCCGGAGTTTCAAGCAATCTTATTTTTCAAAAATGTTCCCTTAAAATATGTAGTTCACAAGTGCAGGCTATTAGAGACAGCTTAAAGGTTTTCTAATTTAACAAGCTTACTTACGGTTATTACCTTCAGTGGAGTATAGGCCACCAACAAATATTCTTCAAGCAACTCTCTCCTGAGCCTTCCTTTCTAGTTCTAACCAATAGTTGTTGATTCTTCTCATGTCTGTCTTCATTTCTCAAATGTAATGTGTTCTTTGGTCTTCCTCTTTTCCTTCGGCTTTAAGAATTCCCAGTGAGGGCTTGTCTTGTGACCCAAATCGGTACTTTCCGCAATGTGTATCCTATCTACATCCAGCACTTCTTTCTGATTTATTCCTCCACTGGAATTTGGTTTGTTCTCTCCAGCAGTAGATTGTTGCTGATGGTATCTGGTCAATAGATCCGCAGTATTTTGCGTTGCCAACTGTTAATGAACACTTGTATCTTCTGGATGATGGCTTTTGTAGTTCTCTGACTTTCCGCCCCATACAGTAGAACTGTTTTGATATGTGTATTGAAAGTTCTGACTTGGATGTTTGTTGATAGTTGTTTGAGTTCCAGTTATTCTTTAGTTGTACTGTCTAATAAAAAATAACCTAGTTTCCAAGATTTTACTTTGTGCTTTACTTTACTTTATTGCAGATAATAGTATACCATTCAACTGACTTACATTTAGACCAGTTATTATTTCTGGTTAGATAGGAGAAAACCGTGACATTACAGCTATAAACTCATTTCTTCATCTTCTAGTTATAAATACTCCTCAGAACATGAAATTCTCTGAGATTCATTATTTTTATGACCAAATTTAATCTTTTGTAATATCTAGTTCCGTATCTTCAACAAAACTGTTTAGAAAATTCATTATTTAACATTGTTCCATATTAAAGATGTCCGTTAAAAAAGCGATAAATGTTTTCTACATTGGTTATTAGACATCATCAATCTCATTTCATTACATTTTATTTTAAAACAATACGAACTAATCTAGGTACACACATGTACAAATAATTAAAAAAGGTTCATTAAGAGATTGTATAGACAAAGGCACATACAAAATCGCTTATGGTTCTCATCATAATCAAAATTTATTAAATGTGTATCATGAAAATTTAATTAAACATTCAGACAAAATAAACCATTATCTTCAATTAGATTAGTTTAATATTAAATTGTAAAATGATTGGTTATTGTATTGATATTTAGAAGATAAAATACACTTGTCTATTGGTCAGTAGAATGAATATTAATTTCAACAGTATTTAATGAGTTTTTTTAGAACTGTAGATTGAGTACATTTTTCAGAAACTAATCTACACATTTACAATTTGAAAAAAATTCTGATGTATACTAAAATTGTAACATGGTTTAGTATAATTCTCATTGTTTTATGTTTAACAATGAAAAATGGTACGTTATGCATTATTGTTCTTTTATTTTTTTTTGTCAACAGTGATACTATCATTAATAAATATGGGTTTCATATTATTTAATGTAATTTATGAGTTTGTTTGATTCACAAAAATTACAGCTAATTATCACGTGAATAATGAGCTCGATTAAACATCAAAGTGAGTAGGTAATTAATGTTAAATGACAGTAAATTTTTATGGTTGAAAGAAATATGTGTATGTTCAATACTAGATTTTATGTTGAATAACAGAAAATGTTTAACTATAAGACAATTGTTTCATTGAATGAAAAATTCAATTCCTCATAATGCATAGTTTCATGTCTTAAACTGTAATTGAAAATTCTATACGAATCAATGATCAAGGTTTTTTTGATTTCCTGTGTTAGAAATGAAATGGGTGTATTTATTTAATAATTCAAATAAATATTTTGCAAAAAATCGTTTTAAAATGAATTATTTGATATTGGTTATTTATGGCTGACTAAGGGGAAAGTAAATTACATCGATTTGCACATCGTTTTCAACATGTTCTCGAGAACCTCTGAAAACTAAACATTACTAGACTAGTGTTTTATATTAATGTAGAACCCATCAGTATTGTGTGACCACGACTATACATGACTCAGTGGCTCACAGCACGTATGAATTCATTGTATCGAAAAATTATCAAAGGATTATTCAAATTCCAACTATGAGTCAAATCATTATTAAAGATGAGAAAGCAACTGACTAATATCGTTACATGAAAGCCAAGCTTTATAACCAGTCGAATAACGTTGAAATTATACGTTCTTGAAGGTATCATATTCCCTGACTGATTTTAGATCATCAGATTCTATCTCTGTTAGAGTTATGTATGTAAGCATAATCAGACATTTCAAATGACAACAAATCAGGTATCCTGTTCTCTACAAACTTCAGTGATATTTGAGTTTATATCAATCTATGAAGTGAACTATTTTCATGCATGGAACAGAAGTTAGGAAAACCACCCAGTTGAATGCTTAATTTAATTGAGACAAAAATATTAAAAATCTTATTTTATATATAATAAGAAAATCTTTTCAATTATATTTATCAAATTTAACCTCAATTATCTGAATTTATATGTAGTATTCTAACTGAATTAAGTAAATGCTATAATGAATGATAACAATGTAAGAAAATTTGTCAAGAGAACTAGAGTTTTCAGTGTATAAAACTTATCACAAAATCATATAATTGAACAATTTATTCTAAAGAAAGTATAAGTGAGGACAAATAAATGAATATTGGAATGATGGAATGTACTGTTTCATGTCTCATGTAGATACATGTATGTATATACGCATATATATATATATATATATATATATATATATATATATATATATATATATATATATATATATTCTCAGTAGTTAACAATAGTTTATTAATAATCTGTAAAGAATGAAGAATAATTTACTTATTTCGACGTCAGTATTAGAGAACATAATGATTTCTTATCATAAAATAGGTAACTAAATCAAATCTTGATCATTGATCAAATAGATTTGAAGATTAGAATAAGGATCCTGATTTGCAGATTCAGCTTTTGTTATTTTGTCTGATAATCAATAACACCTACTTCAAAATAATTCAGTAACCATGATTTATTTATCAGTAGTATTATTTCGTCTTGCTGATATAGTTCGTAGACAATTATTTTATCTCTAGTTGTGCAACCACTGTGTGTACACATATTTCAACTTTCCTTTTTAATAACTATACATTTCCACTTCCTCAATCTATTTCACTGTTGCGCCTAGGACTGTATCGACTCATGTTTCATACAAATAAACTGAAATACATGTGAGTGTCATTGTGTCTTGATTAAGTCTACTAATTAAGAAAATTTCTGTCTGTTATGTTCGTTCTTACTGATCCTCATTAAATATGAGATGATGTACACTGTTTTCGCCATAAAAATGAAAGTCACAAAATGATAATCTGACACTTAGTATTGTGTAATTTACTTCAAATATAACGTAACCTTTTTTTATGATTGATTTTTAGTTGATTCTATCACCTGTTATGCATGCGAAAATTGTGTCAGTGTAGATGGAAGTACTCCAACTGAAACCAACTGTGGAGGATGTGTTGTAAGTTAACTAGTATAGATGAAATTTTAACATTTATTCCATACATTGAATAATATTGCTGAACTACTTAAATGTAGGGTTAAAATCTGCTACCTCGATCAAGAAAATTGTTTTCGAATGGTGAAAAAATCTCTTGTAGTAGTCTCCTAATACAAATACTGAGAACTGCCTAACGCATACACGTTAAAGATTTATAATCTTACTGTCAATGCTTTTATATTTGTTGTAATTATGTTTACCTTTACGACTACTTAAGCCACCGTAAGTGAGATGTAAATATACTTCATAATGTGAAAATCGTTCTTTTCAGTTACCATCATGGTTTACAACAAAGTCAGTCAAATTTACAAGTCAAAATTACTCTCTACGATTGATTTCTCTGTTTTCTATTTGTACGACAGTAGACTAAATGTGTAAGATTCGGGATTTCCTAGTTGTTGATATTAAAGAAAACAATTAATCAATCTGTTGGAAAATATTCATCTTAAACTGATCTTGATGAAATTACCTGAGACTGATCAGTTTCATTATTTAGCATCAATGACGGGAACATATAACTTCAAACTCTTCGAATAAGCCAGGGACGTTTGTACTCATCAGCTTAACAAATAAAGTATTAAATATTTGAAGTGATACACATCAAATTAAGTTGCTTCCAACTGACGACGTGGAAATAGAATGAAAAATTTGTTCTTGATTCGATTACTAGTCATTATAAAAACCTAAGAGCAGTGAACAGCCATTTAGTCCCAGTATTGGGTTCCTCGGTAACAACACTCTTCCACGACCCATATACGGGAATCGAGTCTAGAACATTCAGTTTCGCGCGTGACTGTTCAACATCTAGATATTTGAATCCTCCCTCAACTAGTTATTTATTATCTTGGTTGTTTTTGAATGACTGTAATATTTTTGTACAAACAACCCATGTATTCAAATGTCTATGGAAAGAATAACCATCTACAGATCGTCATGAAATTTGAAAAATCCCATCTTCAACAAAATGATTCGCTTATCCTAAAAATTTCAAAAATGTAATGTGAAGATAAATTTATTCTGAGAAATTTTGATGTATTTGATCAAAACACTTCAAACAGGTTAATTACTTATTTGTTTGTTAAACTAGTTTCGATCAGTTAAATAAAATTTCAAATAAACAATAAATGAATAGATCAGAAAAAAGGTACACACACGCACGGAATAAAAAAAAGATACATTATGTAAAATCAAAAGAATGACTCATATTACATCTTGCTTTAAAGTTGCCTGGAGACTAATAGTACGGATTAAAGACGAAAAAGTACTTATCTTTTTGAATATTTACGTGTAACTGAATTTATTCAGTAGTTAGGACTCTAAAAGCCTAATCATATACGTCTCACACATTAACTATATCTAGGTACATATCTACATACAGTACATGCAACATACAAAACTGCCAGATAATATGTATTATGAAATTATTACTTCTCCATTAGTTACTAATACACACTCTATCTCAATGAACGAAACTCATTAGCTTTATGGATGCACACTGCTGTGGAATACCATACTAGGAGGAAACGACCATTCAAAAGTTCCCAGATTTTCAGTGGTAATCTAGCTATGATTTATTAGTGACCCAAACTATGAAAACTAATACAATCTCCACAAATTCTCGTTACTCATAACAATAAATTTATTAATGAAGTTGAAGTAATTTCAATTCTAGTTAACTAATTTATCATTTTCTATTTTCATAAAGTTTCACTATTATTGTTTTCTAAACATTCTATTTACATTACGGTTTTAGAAAACTGGAGTGCCAAAAATCTACGTAAAACGATACTGTGCGCCCAATTGTACAGATATTGCTACTAATTTCCCAATTAAAGATCTTTTATCATGTTGTTCAACTGATCTCTGCAATAATTCAAGACAACTGAAACCATTTATTATTGTAGGATTAATAGTTTATTCTGTATGGTATATATTAACTAGTCATTAATTGACTTAGGACTTGAATTTTACATCTTAACAAAGTGTCAGAACTCATTTTCTGATCTGTATCATTTGATAAAATGATAATTTTGATATTTTTAATATGTTCATAATTGTGTGAATTGTTGTTTCAACACTATTTTTCACATTGAATTCCATTTTTTGTAAACAAATAGTTCATCTTGTTAATTTTGTTAACAAACATTTTTCAATAAATAATACAACTAGTTTTTAATCATTTTTTTGAATCAATCTCACTGACGTTTAAAGTGTGTAGCTTTTAGTGAACAACGTTTTGATGCTGTTTGAAATATAAAAACAAAGAAATTTACAAATTACGAGGATTTATAAAGATTATGGACATTCGTAGCTTATGTGATGGGTTCAAGTTGTATAGACGACCATTGAAAAGCAGCATGGTATTTATAAATGGTGTACATCTGTGACTGACTTAGGATCAAACCAAGAATCTTCATGTAAAGCAGTGAGGCCTAAAAGTATTGATTTAAAAAGTTGGAATCCTATGTCTTACATTTTTAACTTCGAACAATATACAACTTTGTGTAACCAAACAGCTGTTCAGCGCTTCTTGATTTTCAATCATTGTCCAATGAAGTTTAGTCCATGACATAAAATTCGAAATTTACTAAATACAACGGTGAATGAAATTTTTCTTTTCTTTGCGAATTATTATGATAAAAAAACAAGTACAAAGAGATTTTAAAGTGTTTTTCATGATTTTTATAAGTCAAACATTACTATTTTCTAATAGGATCTTAGCTGACAATATTTGGTTTTTGGCAAACCTATAATCACTGTTTTTAGACTAAATAAGCCCTGAAACATTTCACTTCAATAATTATTCTAGCTTGTATTAAAGAATTATATAGCTTATGCTGTAAATTCAGACTATTCAAGTTACTTATCATTATATTACAATATGAAAATGGTTTCTAATTATTGATTTAAGTAGAATAGAGTAGTTTACATTTTGGAAGGTTAAATAAAAACAGAAAATTAAATGAACGTTATATTCATACTTAAATTATGACCATAATAATAAAAACTAATTGATTTTAAAACCTTTTTAATATTGCCATTGTCTTAATGTTGATAATAAATTAATTTTAACGAACCATATTGAACTTTGAATAAACATGAAGTTTCAAGAATTATGTTGTAGTTTTTAAACATTACTTTACAATCGTGTTGAAGAGAATAAGAATAAAGACTTGAGAAAACTAATGTAATTTCATTTTATGTTCACTTCTGTTTTTATCGGTTGTTTACAATTTCTTTTTCTTGCTCTGTTCATGAATCACAAGGGAAATTAAATGTATAATATCTAAATTATCAGACAAAACATTAGATGTTCAATTTTCACATGTTCGTCAATTTTACAATGAGTAAAATGTAAAATGTTGATTTTTACTGAACCAGACTAAAAAAAACAATCAATGATTCTTTCTTTTACGAGAGAAAAAAAACGTTGAACGTTGAGCTTTGGAGTAACATTTGTTTAAAATACATAAATGTACATATTAAGGTGTACTTGACTGGTCACTACACTTTTTATAAAATAACAAATGTTAGTCATAATAAAAAAATCCAATAAATTTTCACATAAATGAACTATCTTCAATCTGAATTAACCAGGAAACAACATCACTAATCTATCTTTGAATGTGAGTTATAGGCTTCTTATAACCAAGGTTTACATTATTAAACAAATAAATGTATTTCAGGAGTATTGGTTTCACCATACATTAGTGTATCTAATAATAATCTCTTATTACATAATTCAACATAGACATAAAATCATAATTTACATTTAACTGATTACATTGACTGATTATAAGTAGCCAATATTAAGAAAACGTTTAAGGGAGGACGAAATAAACCATCAACTTAAATCACATTTGTACATGCCATTGATTTGTTTATAAATGAAAGTTTAATTGGCTTTTAGAACAGATATTTTCCACCACAATCCATAAACGCCTGAGTGAGTATCAGTTACATCATATCTGTAAATAGGAAATGTTGACTGGTGCCGCTTGGAAACAAAAAATCAACTATATGATGTTTTGACAATCAACTCAATTCCATTGACGATTGGGATTAGTTTGTCAAAGTTAGACATGAACTATTTGTCCGCTATATTTAATTTCGACATTTTACATTGTAATATAATTTATAATACAGTAACATGTGTATACTGAAGTGTGTTGATAATGTTGAGAATTATCATAATGCAATTTTGGCATAATTTATAAATTAACGTTTGTGAAACTTTAGAGCAAAACTGAACAAAAATATTGACAGATATAATTCTCAAGAACTATGTTCTACAAGATAAGAAAAACTATATTTAAATCCGAAATTAAATGATGTCTAGGTAAACAACTGAATAGTCAATAGTAATAACGTGATAATATGAATTACATTTCACCACATAACGATGCATAACTGTTGGAGACGTTAGACCTCCAGAACTCACTTAGAAAAGGTCTAAATTTCGTCATTTTAGTCTGAAATTTTGAATTTTTATGTTTTCATACTAGTTGATTTAGAGCTTACATTTCCCACTCGGAAATCCTTGAGTGTCTTCGGTTGACGGATTAGTTTAGTACGCTATTTTGTGGCTCTCCCGAACGCATTACCATCATTGTATAAATAAGCTTGATTTGTGTGCTTGTCGACCTCGTATTTTCTGGGTGCTTGTAGAATACACTTTCTACGCCTTATCAAGACTTCTCGATCTAGTTAGACGGGCCAGTGACAAACGGATTAAAATTTCCTGTCGTGTCATTGTATCATTTCTTTCGTTCCGTTTACCGAATAAGGTGAACTGGTAATAGCATTCAAGCATATCACTTGACGTGCATATCAATAACTATTAGTGATAAAGAATGTAAAATATGTTTTTATACATATAAGTCATCCTGAAAAGTTCACAGGCCGAACATATTACTCTAGTCATAAGACTTAAATATTATTACGTTCCATCTAGTATATGGTTGTGGTAACGTATTAAAACGAGAAGGGGGGGGGGGTTAATAACTTACAATATTTTTTAACTGATAACATGGGGCAGTGAATAATTAATATAATTGCTAAACTTCGTAAACTGCTCGTCCTGATAACCTTCATTCGATAACACCCAACGGTGTATAAATCAGTAGACGAATACAAAGAGTTGGTGATGTTTATTATCACACCACGCTAATCACAGAACCACAGGCATACTAAGCGAATATGAAATAAAATGTACATATAAATACATACAAAAATCGATGAACCTTTGAATTAACACTGAACTTAACATTAAAGCTAGTTGAATGAATATTCCAGTAGGTCATAAGCAATGCTCAAGCATATTTGCCTGTATAAACGCAACAATAATAAAAGTTCTATGGTAAAGATAAATTGTTACTGTACAATGAAAGAAAGGGCTTAGCCCAAATAAAACGAAAAGAAAGTCTTGAAAATTCCACTACTTTGCATGAACTCATTCATTTGAATAATTTATCATTTATAAACTAATAGTTTATTAGACTTTTCTAACATAAATAACTTACCAATCGATCATATTTTCTTTATATTATAATTAATTTGAAAAAAAAATTATTTTTCTTTCTTTTTTTTCTGAATTTAAAAATCACTATGACCTGAAATATATATAATTTCATACTGATTTAAATAACGTCAAATCACATGAGTCGATTCTCTGCAAACATGTTTCTAGAGTTGGTTTTTCTTTGGAAATATCAGATGATTTATATTGAAAAATCCCACCCAATATATATGTGTATATGTTACGTTTGTTATTCTCAATTGTAATAATAATTTTTATGAATTTTAAAAAAAAATTATTAATTTTCTCATCATCATCGTATCCTATGACTACCAGTTAATAAATTATTATTATTCGATTATCTATTTAAATTCTCACATCATTTATTACTCTGTGGTAATGAAAACTTTATTTCGTAACATAAGCAGAAGAAAGAAATTAATTTGATAAAATGTGACAAATATAAAACTTAGTTTGCTTAAAAACATTGTTTCTAACAAACATCACCGTTTGTATTTGTATTGTCAAATCTTAATTTCAGATTCATATTGTGTTTCAGTAAGTGTCACTTGCATAGAAATTAATTAATAGAGTTTATTTCGTCTGTTGATTTTAATTATTTAAGAATAATTCACTTCAATAAATGATTAATCAAACGTTGTACAATCATATTTAGAGTTAATTTTACATATACTAATTTATAAGAATAAAAACTTTAATAATAATAATAATGAAAGGTAGTTAAAACTTTTTGAGTAGTGAAAATATATAACTTACATATGTACTACATGAGAGGGAAATAGTAATTATTCTAAGAAATGCACGAAATTATTGTCTACTTTATAAATGTAAAGAGGATAAAAAAATATAAAAGAATTCAATTTGTCAACCGACCAGATAAATTGGATAATTGATAGGCTGGATCAAAAAAATCATAGAAACGCATAAGATCAATAACCGAATCAAAGGGGGATGCAGTCAAATTAATAAAGCAGACAATGACAGGTTAAAGCTCAATAACAACCAATCAAGGTGATATGTCTGAAACTATTACGAGTTCATCTTACTCGGTAAACGGGACGAGGGTCAACGATGCAGTAACACGATAGGTTATTCTAATCCAGTCGTCCGAGGCCCTGCTAACTAAAGCAAGAAGTCTTGATGAGGAGTAAAAAGTGTATTCTACAAGTACCCAGAAAATACGAGGTGTATAATTATACATGATTATACATGCATAATTATACAATGATATCAGCGCCCTTGGGTAAGCAGTAAAATAGCGTACTCAAATAATCCATCAATCAATGGCAGTCAAGGATTTCCGAGTGGGAAATATGAGCTGAAGGTCAACTAAGCGTCTTTGATGCAAAAACATTATAAATTCAAAAATTTCAGAAATAAAATACAAAATTAGGACCACTTCCAATTTAGTTCTGTGGGTCTAACGTCCCCAACAACTATATTGTTAAAAATG